TGCACCAAATGAACTTTACTCGCAGGCTTACTGGAGTGCCGTTATCGCGGCAATCCTTTATTTTATTCTCAGCGTCATATTGATCATCAATATGTTGGGATATCTTCTTGGACATTATCCCCAGTACTTCGCTCTCACTGATGGTCAGCGAACTCTGATCCTACAGACTCTGTCATTTGTCATCTGGCTATTGATCGGTGCTGTGATCTTTTCCAAGGTCATAGACATATCTTTCGCAGATGCGCTATACTTCTCGGATGTAACCATTCTGACCGTGGGATTCGGTGACATTGCGCCTACAAATGCCGTTGGAAGAGGCATTCTATTCCCTTACGCCGTGATGGGCATCGTCATACTAGGTCTAGTGGTCGGTAGCATTCATCAATTTGCCAAAGATCTTCAGTATGACAATGTCATTCGCAAACATACTGAGCGGAAGCGGCTGGCAACTATCAGACGTGCTACTACGTTGGAAAATAATCGTATTGGTCCAGCAGAGAACGGGGCTCACACGAGTGACTCTGACGAAACAGCACAGATCGGCTATCGGCCTCGCTATACACGTGAACATCCCATCATAAGCAGTATCAGCTCCTGGACTCAGGGACTGGCGGGTCGGACGAAGCTTATGCTCATGAAGGAAGAAAAGGACCGATTTGATGCCATGCGTGCCATTCAAAGTGAAACAATCACATTCCGTCGGACATACAATCTATTGTTGAGCATTATTATTTTTGGGATAGTGTGGACATGCGGTGCAGTGGTTTTCTGGCAGTTGGAAGAGAATCTTACATACTTTGATGCTCTATATTTTGGATTTTGCTCATTGATTACCGTGGGATATGGAGATTTTACTCCCACAACAAACGCGGCAAAGCCGTTCTTTGTGGTGTGGTCTCTCATCGCTATTCCAACAATGACCACCCTCATCTCGGAGATGAGCGACACAATCGTCGCCTGGTTCAAGCATGCCACCGATAAAGCTGCGGACTGGACCGTTCTTCCGCAATCATCCAAGTATAAAGCTTTTCTCCAAAGTGTGCCTGTTATCCACTCCGCCCTCCAGCGGCGAGCAGAAAAGAAACGAATTGCTCAGGGCTTTCCTGTTGGTGACTTAGAGCCAGGGGAACGGCATGGTGATGGTTCTGACTCCAGCCGTCGCCCGAGACCTCTTGAAGATCTAGCTCGCGACTCAAGTCCTTCGCGTCAAGCTTTGGCCCAGCAACTCGCATTTGCAATTCGACGGACAGCAAGACATGCTGTTGCACGCCATCCGAAACACTATAGCTATGAAGAGTGGGTTGAATATACGCGTCTGATCCGATTTACTGACAACAGTCCTGAGGGAGTGGTGCTTGATGAAGACGAATTCGGTGTGCTGAATTGGGATTGGATTGGAGAGACAAGTCCGATGCTCGCATCGCAGACAGAGCCGGAATGGATCCTCGATCGGCTCTGCGAAAGCCTGATTCGATATGTGGATGGTCAAAGTCGCAGACAGCCTCCTGACCAGGATGAAAAACCTTTAAGTGTAACCAACGGTGACCGGGATGTCGAAGAGCCTACATTGAAGAAGGAAAGAGACATCCGTTTTGAGGATAATTAGGCCCATTCAATTTGCTTTATATCCGCCTTTCGGCTCAAATATGACTTGACTCTTTATATACAAAATGACGCTCCAACAGCTCGTACCTCAGAACTGGACAATTCCACTTTTCTTCACACATGCTACTTTATCTGTAGTCAGTAAGTAGCTGTGAATCCGAGCCAGATCCATTATTCAGAACCGATATAAGCATCCTTCCAGCATTTGGGCTTCCTTCTGATGTTCCCATAGAGTACAAAATCATGCCAACAGGCTCCCTAGTCAATTCAGGTAGGACTGTCCCGAATAGGAAATACTGTGCAAACTTCAGAACCCCTGGGGCCTGAGGAGAACAGCTTATCCGTTCGGAACAACCATCGGTCCGCTCCGCGTGTCAACTGTCGACGGTCTCCGCATCTCAAACAGATCTGTCTCTGCCCGATCGCTGCTTTGGTCGATAATTGTAGGGGTATCTGGTTGAATTAGACGTCCGATGGGCTCACTGAGACAAAAGTTTGGGTCAAAATAGGAGAAAGAAGATGGATACTTTTGCGATCACGGAAAGCATCGTTCCCGAGAGCAACAATCAAGATGGCCACGACGCCGAACGGGCCAGCTCAGAGCAGCAGCTCCCAGAAGAAGCGAACAAGTTTCAACGTGCCATTGCGGCCTGGAGAAGTACGTCATTATTTGAATGCCGTGTCTATCTTGAACCTCAAGGTGCTGATATCTCTCCCTATTAGGCATCGACTTGACTACGACTGTCGCAAAACTAGACGCTACGGCTTCGGATATTGTCGCTCAGCAGCGAGATGCACTTATACAGAGAAAGGATCTGGCCCAAAAGACAAAGGATTTTCGAAAATTAGACGATGCTTCCAAGCTTGCGGAATACAAGGGTCTCCTGAAATGTCCGTCCTATCTCGGCCGCGATCAGACTGATCTTTCGAGCTAACGTATGGTAGCATATCAGAGCTTCATCGATCTCCTAACCAATCACGGGAAATCCTCCTCATCCGCCTTTCTACAGCTGTACTCCTCTCTATCAGAAGCTCCTGATCCTTACCCACTCCTTGAAGCCTCGGTCGACTCCCTTGTGCTCTCCGAGCAGACCGTCCCGAAATTGACATCCGAGAGAGACCAATTGCAGACATCTGTAAATCGCCTTACATCCCAATTAGAGGATACAGAAAAGCGACTACAGGAGGAGCGAGCCGCGAGAAAGAATTTGGAGGACAGCCAGGAAACGAAGATCAAAGAGATCGAGTCGTCCTGGTCCGCCGTGTTGGCGGAAAAGTCGAACAACTGGGCCGCCAAAGAGAAGAGCTTGGAGGAGAAGGTTGAGAATCAGGAGCGCTTACTGAAGGAAATCAAGGCAAGCTACGAGGTATCTCAAAGGCTGGGTCAGGAGAACGATGGCGGTGATGGCTCCCAACACGGGGCGACCGCTGCTGAGCTAGAATTGGTGTCTGCCGACTTGGAAAAGACTAGCTTGCGACTGGCCGAGGTGGAGGCACGAAACGAGCAACTTCGGCTTGAGCTGGCTCAAGCCGTTTCACATTCCCAGGCTACGCAGGCTACCTCGGTTGAGGACGATCCCGCCTATCTTCGCCTTCAATCAGAAAACTCGTCCTTGTTGCGCAAGTTGGACGCCGCGCGATTTGATCGGGAGTCTGAACGTCACGCATGGGAGTCGAAGCTCTCACAACTGGAGAGACAGAGCTCGAAGGTGGCTGCGGAGCGAGACGAGCTGCGGTCGCGGTTGGAAAAGACTGCTGATTATGAAGATATCCGCCGCGAGCTGGAGATGATCAAGGTAGGATATATCCTATGGCAAGATAGCCATAATTTCTTGCTGATTCTTCCCAGTCTATTGAGTTCTCTGCGGGCGATGCGGACGATGATGAGGCTGGAGATTCCACAGGCAATGCTAACGGCACCAACGGTGCCCCTTTGAAACCTAAGGATGGATCCAGTGGTAATAGTTTAGAGGGGCTGCTCTTGGCTCGCAACAAGAAGTTGACAGATGAACTTACCGTTCTTCGTGTGTCCCATCGTGACCTCCAAGGTCAGCTTGAACTTCTCCGTGAGGATCTCTCAAATACCAAACAGGAACTGGAGAAGTCCAAGCAGCTATCCACAACCCTTGAGAATGATCTGCTCCGTGTACAGCAAGAGGCGGCGAACGCTTTCCCATCATCCGCAATGTCTGTTGCCGGTACCTACAGCTCGAGGTACCCCCACTCCTCCAGGAGAGGAGCAGCGTCGCCGACTTCGTCTATCATTTCAGGTTTTGATCAGGCGGCAGCATCCTCCAATGCAATGGACGCTATACGCGCCGGGGAGCCTGTGGGTGGTGGTTCCGGTCTGCTGCCTATGATACAGGCTCAGCGTGACCGCTTCAAGAAGAAGAATGCGGAGCTAGAAGAGGAGTTGTCGAAGATGTACAGCACGGTCAAGACCTTGAGGCAGGAGGTTGCTTCCCTCCAGAAAGACAACCTTAGCCTTTACGAGAAGACGCGATACGTCTCAATGTACAGCCGTGGTGGAGCTTCCTCATCGGCCTCTGCCTATGCGAATAAACCTAGCAACTCCTCCGTCCATGTCTCCGCGGACACTCCTTCCGGTCTTTCATTAGACCGGTATCAGTCCGCCTACGAAGCTCAGCTATCACCATTTGCTGCTTTCCGAGGCCGTGAATCGGTGCGGGCGTACAAGCGTATGAGCTTGCCCGAGAGAATCGTGTTTTCTATCACACGAATCATCTTGGCTAATCGAACCAGCCGAAACCTCTTTGCGGGGTATTGCTTTGCCCTGCATGTCTTACTGTTTCTAGTATTGTATATGATGAGTACCATGGAAATAGAAAAGCACAGTAGCGCCAGTCTGGGAGCTGCTGCCGCTGCTGCGATGGCTGGCGGGGCCGGATCTGGGAGTAGCAGTGGCCGGCTACATGGTGATGATTGGCAGCAGGAGGGTTTTAACCATGCAGCTTAGTGGCCATCTGACTCCTTCTCTTCTTCTCTATTTTTGGCAGTCGGCGTTTACAATGTCAGAGATATCTAGTTCTTCAGCTGAATACTACCTTCTATTTCATTTGGTCTCCTTTCCCAATTTGAAGCAGTCAACGAGGTCGAAGGTTTCAGGGTCTGGGTCCCATGCTACGGTCTCGTAACGAGCTGGGGTGTCGGACACCCCTTGCTGCCATCGATGAGTACCTACTTATTTAGCGATGTCTTAGCATGTGGTGGTGTGGGCCCGCATGCATCTTAGCAGGCTTGATTGCTCCTTACCTACCCGGCATCGGACTGTGGCCCTTGGTGAAAGGATGCTAGGGTAGAATGATGAAAGTACCCGGCACCCTCGCCAGTCTCAAAAAAATATCACACAAAAAATATCCAAAAAGAAAGGTGTTGGCCCGAGCCGCGGATCGAACGCGGGACCTCTCGCAGATATGCTTGGGTTTATCCCTAAGCGAGAATCATACCTGGTTGATTTGTTAGTGGGGAAATTAGATTGATTAAGGCGGCGTAACAAGAACATACCACTAGACCACCCGGGCCACTACGAAAATAATGCGCTTTATTGAATATCATGTTCCAGGAAACCAAAATCTGCGCATCGAGTCTTACTTCTGAGTTGCTAGTGTTCTTTGGGAGGAAGAATATGTACCTCTGTTACTTATCAGAGCCATAGGAACCAAGTAGCTCGAGGACAGCCAACCAACTGCAGTTAATGTCACGCTTGTCGAAGGCGTTGATCACATTGAAATGTCTGCTTGATGATTACCCCGCGCTCGATATTATATTCCCAAGAATAACAACAACTAGGTTTGATGTAATGAGAAGGCAGGACGCAAGGAAAATGCCAAGAATGTAAAACTTATTGCCAGGTTTGAGGTATATATATATAATCTAAGCTAGCGGGTTAACATCACCGTCAACACTCGCCCGTTGGACAATGAGACCAATTGCCCAATTATATTACTAGCAGAAAGGACGAGGAAATACGCAGGTGTCATCAAAAGCCCAGACCGACTGACGCCAGTCAAGACCGGTCTCGTGGTCAATGGAAGCCTGTCTGTCATTCTGCACACTAACCCAGGTTGGCATGATCCCTAAGCGCCAGCAATGCAAACAGGAGATATTATTAGACACAGAAGGAGGCCGGGGATTTCTATGCCAATCAGCACGAGCATAACCCTGCTAGATCTCGTCAAGCGCATGCAAGCTCCAACCGGTTAGAAATCGACAAGACTGTCGAGTTAGATGCACCAATCTGCGCCCGAGGAGGACGTCTCTTCGGCAGCGCAAATTGCCCAGGGAGCATTCCATGTCTCGACTAGAATACCGTCTAAGCTGAAGGATTCCACCAGCGCATACTGGCTCCAATGAGCGAGCGTCATGGCGCATGGCTATAGCAGGCGGCTTCAGCGATAATCTAACTCGAGGCTGTTAATAGATCTGACAAGTCGGGTTTCAAGCATAAATTGCATGTTACTATAATTTCTTCAATGACATGCAGATGGAGGATCCGTGCAAATTGCAACAGACATGCAGCCATGCGAGCCGGGTGATTATATAGGATATTCACCCTGGCAGTTGAGTAGGGATCTTCTTACTCCCAGTCGTATTCTTTGCTGTTCAATCTTGCTAGTGTGCGTTTTTCTCCTCGGCAGGTCCTCTTTGTTTATGATGTTGTCTTGAGTGTCAGCGTTGGATACTAAGGACACTTTTCTTTGTTGCATTCGTACTCGATACTTCTCTACAACCCAATAATCTCCACTCTTCCGCTCCTCCTTTTCCTTCTCATATACGCAATACCCAACTGCATCTTATCTCCTCAACATAACACCTAGCTGGACTAGGCTTCTAGCGGGCAAATACACCAGTATAAAGCACCAAGATGCGGCTCTTTATCGTGCTCTTCGCCTGGCTGATGGCAACGGCCTACGCTGCTCCAGCTTTCTTCGACAATATCTATGAGTACTCCGACGAGCTGGCAGAGTTCTACAGCAAAGTGAGCGAGCATATCGACGATTCAAAGGATGTCTTCACTGCAACAACAACGTGCGATCCATCCAAGATAGTCTTACCCGCCTTTGCATCTGGGCTGCCCTCTCCCGACAACCAGAAGCCAATATATGTCGCCGTTGGCCGCGGAACACAGGTTAGCAATGACTGCACCCTCGGATCACACACTTCGTTGCATGGCTAAGGTAGCTGACCCCACGCAGAATTACAGTTGCACGACCTCAACCGCAGACTCGAAACCGGTGGCCATAGGTGCTGTCGCAAGTCTTTACAACGCAACATGCATTGCAGCAAGCTACCCAGACGTGCTAGACATGCTTCCTAACATCGCCTATAAGCTGCAGCTACCCACCGACTCATGTGCGACTCTACCTTACGCCAACCTCAATCTTCTTGGTCATCATTTCTTCGAAGATTCGATACCCGTTTTCAATCTCGATACAACTTCGCAACGACAGTACGGTATAGCTTTTACAAAGAAGAAAGCCGAACTGGCTGCGCCGTCTTCTGCAGTCCAAGGAGACAATGGTGCTGTTGCATGGCTTTACCTGACGACCACAAATGGCACAGTTGGAAACTACAAGAGTGTCTACCGGGTAGATACTGCCGCCGGGTCGCCGCCTAAGACCTGCGAGAACCAGCCGTCAGTCATTACAGTGCAATATGCAGCAAATTACTTTTTCTTTGGGAAGTGAGGTGGAGGATCTCTATTTTTTTTTTTTGCTGTTGAATCATGTACATACTCGTATGTTTCCTGGGTAGGATTCTTCTCACTTATGAGAATGAACTTGCGAGATTATCACACTTCTGAGTATCTCCGTAATACAATGGTGCGAGATCCTGTAGCTCGTCTCTTACCTAGTACCTATGAATGCTCAAGAAACGATCCAATTGGACGAGGGCTTATACAAGTCAGGTGATCTAGCTATCAGTTACTATCACGTGACTAGTTTGTTCCCACATCAGCCAGATCCCCGCTAAGCCGCTTTCGGATTAGCGGATTCTGATTTTTGAAAGATCCAAAGGCTCAGTCTGAAAAATCTCGACCGCAACAAACGACGAGCAGTACGGCCTCGACGGAACCCTGTAAGCAGACACGGTGCGGAATTTTCGCATATCTGCTACCTAGAGGCAATTTATCACCTTCGACTCACGGTTCTTTCCAATCGCAACGGGCTTAGCTGTCCTTTACACATCGAATTTTTTTATTTTTTCATCTTCGCTACAACAGCAGCTCCGCGATTTGATTCTGAGCCCGTTATCTCGGCTGTGAAAACGATTTCGATCTCTCTCTCTCTTTTCGATAATTATCATATTATAAACTACAATGGCATTCGGTGCTCCTAGAGGAGGTGGTGGCCGCGGCGCTCCCCGTGGCGGCCGTGGTGCGCCCCGTGGTGGTGGTGGTGGTTTTCGCGGTGGCAGAGGTTTGTCCATCATTATATCCTCCATCTGGGGAAATAGGCAGGCATAGACCCCTGAACCAGCAGTTTAGCTGTTCTCGTATGATTGCTTCTACTGGAACCAGAACTCTGAAGCTTCAATGCGGTTGCCTGTCCTACAGCGTCCCCTACGAGGAACGGCAAGCTAATACGATCTCTTCTTCATCTTCAGGCGGACTTGGAAGCGGTGGTCGTGGCCGTGGTGCTCCTCGTGGCGGCGGCCGTGGTGGCCCTGCTCGTGGTCGTGGTGGTCCTCGTGGCGGCGGTCGCGGTGGTGCTAAGGGTGCCAGGGGTGGTGCCAGGGTCATCATTGTATGTCTTTTCTGTGGCTGGGAGCGATTGATGAGTTTGGATACTAATATGGGAATTTGTAGGAGCCTCACCGTCACGCCGGTGTCTTCGTTGCCCGTGGTGGTAAGGAAGATTTGCTTGTCACCAAGAACTTGACTCCTGGAGAGTCCGTCTATGGCGAGAAGCGCATTGCTGTCGAGTCCCCTGCTGGTGAGGATGGCGCCGTCACCAAGACCGAATACCGTGTGTGGAACCCCTTCCGTTCCAAGCTTGCCGCCGGTATTCTGGGTGGTCTCGATGATATCTACATGAGGCCTGGTTCTAAGGTTTTGTACCTTGGTTCTGCCAGCGGTACCTCCGTCAGTCACGTCGCTGATATTGTCGGGCCTACCGGAAACGTCTACGCTGTCGAGTTCTCCCACCGTTCCGGCCGTGATCTGATTGGCATGGCCACCCACCGCACCAACGTTATTCCCATCGTCGAGGACGCCAGACACCCTCTCCGCTACCGTATGCTCGTCCCCATGGTTGACGTTATCTTCGCCGATGTTGCCCAGCCAGATCAGGCCCGTATTGTCGGTCTGAATGCTCACATGTTCTTGAAGAACGAGGGCGGTGTCATTGTCTCCGTCAAGGCCAACTGTATCGACAGTACGGCCAAGCCCGAGGTTGTTTTCGCCCGTGAGGTGCAGAAGATGAGAGAGGAGAAGATCAAGCCCAAGGAGCAGCTGACTCTGGAGCCTTTCGAACGTGACCACTGTATAGTGTCTGGTATCTACAAGCGTTCTGCATAAAAATCTGGGGGTCTCATCTCTTTATCATGTTTCTAATCATCCCATGTTTGCTATTTTTCGGCGTCAAGTGTTCCGTGATATGTTGAAATGGCCCTTTTCTTTTTCTGGTTTATGTCCATGTCCAGGTGTCCGTTTTTACAAATGTATTCTGTTCGAGTCGAAAAATCTTCCAGGTTTGCGGTTTCTGTCTAGAAAGAACACGCTTGGATGTTATTTCTTGTTTTTTTTAGTATGAGATAATGTGATGGTTCATTACAACTCTCTATCTCTTTCAGAACCTTAGGTACCTTTCAAGCTGACGCGAGGCTCATGAATTGGCTTTGCTCACAGCGTAATCCCCAATCGGACTTGCGCCGGGTTGACTCTTCCATGGAACGGGAGCAGTTCGGTCGGACACGTCTCCGACACTGGAGAGTCGGAACATCTGCGGGATACCAATGCCTCAACAGAAACTTTGAGGTAATTTCCGCGATGGCCACAGCTAATGATGTTAACGCTGATGGCGTCGCCACGGAGAAATAATGGTGGACGTGGGGGTATTCACAAGTTCTCTCCACCCACCCCGCATACATAGACAACAAGGAGACTATATAAACCAGAGCAATGGATCAATTGTGGGGGGAAATATAGTTACTGAACGAGTCTGAGTGTCCCTGTAATATCCAGTTTCTCTTCTATTTCTGGTCTACATTCCTTCCGATTCGGGACTAAGAACTCAAGCCTTCAACCATGTCTATTATCATCACTGGAGCAGGCGGCTACGTGGGCCAGGAACTGGCTGCCGCATTGCTCTCGACTGAACCCGATACAACAGTGATCCTCACAGACGTCGTCGCACCCACTGTCCCCGCCTCCGCTGCCCAGCATGCCTCGCGAGTCAAGAGCGTGCAAGCAGACCTCACCATTCCAAGCGTGGTCGACTCGCTATTCAACGAGTCCCACCGCTACGATACCGTCTACCTTCTCCACGGGATCATGTCAAGCGGCGCAGAGGCCAACTTC